TTCCCCTACTTGGACTCGAACCTAGGAAATAAAATTACCGTACCAAAGCGCTACCAACTACACCACAGAAGATTGAAAGGGAAACAAACCTTACAGCTATATCTGCTATACTAGGAATGAACGCATTCTATCTGAATGCCACTCTGTTCATTTTACAGTTTTCTCCTGTGGCTTCGTTATATATATATATATATATATATATATATATATATATATATATATATATATATATATATATATATATATATATATATATATATATATATATATATATATATATATATATATATATATATATATATATATATATATATATATATATATATATATATATATATATATATATATATATATATATAAAGATAGATAAATAGATAGATATATAGATTAGCTAAATAGATAGATAGATAAATAATGGGAGAGAGAGAATTATATATATTCACCTTTAGTAATCGAACTCAGAATCCTGTTAGGTTTAAGGAAAGTTCTAATCCCCTGACCTACTAAAGGTGGTACATCAAATTTAACGTTTTTCTAGCCAAGCATTAGAAATTTCACTTTGGTTATTTGTAGATCTCTCTCTCTCTCTAACTCACTCTCTCTCTTTCTCTCTCTCTCTCTCTCTCTCTCTCTCTCTCTCTCTATATATATATATATATATATATATATATATATATATATATATATATATATATATATATGTGTGTGTGTGTGTGTGTGTGTGTGTGTGTGTGTGTGTGTGTGTGATTGCCTAATTGATTACCTAATTGTGTTTACGGGAAAGAGCCCAAAGCTCGTATCTTCCCGTCTCCTGATCGGTTCCATTTTAGACTTAGTGATACTTATCGTACCTGTCCTTAAAACTATGGATTGAGATAGCATTAACTACCTCCTCGCTTAGCCAATTCCAATTATCAACTACTCTTACACTGAAAAAGTATTTCCTTACATCCTGCAAAGAAGTTTTCTTACGAAGCTTCAAACTATGACCTCTAGTTCTAGAGCCAGCCATATCGAAATATCGATCCCTATCCACTCTATCATAACCATGAAGGAATTTAAAGACTGTCACCATATCCCCCCTTACTCTTCTAGCTTCGAGTGATGGCAAGTCTAATTCCCTCAGCCTCTCATCATAACTGAGATTGCGTATTTCTGGCACCAGTTTCGTGGCATGTCTTTGAACTTTTTCAAGCTTAGCTATGTGCTTTTTCAAGTGCGGATTCCAAAAGGGGGCTGCATATTCGAGTTTTGGCCTCACATAGGTTACATAAATATTTCTGAACATTTCCTTGTCCATGTGCCTGAAGGCTACCCTTACATTTGATAAGAATGCATATGCTGCCCTTACTACGCCATTTATATGTATTTCTGGAGACAAATCTGCCAGTATGTTTACTCCTAGATCTCTCTCATTTTCTGTCTCTTGAAGTTGTACTCCAGCCACCGAGTAGTCAAGCTTGGGCCTTCTTGCACTTGTACCCATTCTCATTACCTTACATTTTGAGGTATTGAATTTCATTAGCCACTTTTCTGACCACTCATGCAGATTATTTAGATCCTCCTGAAGTTCTCTACCATTGTTCTCGTTTTTTACTTTCTTCACAATCTTTGCATCATCTGCAAACATATTCATGAATGAATTTACAGACTCTGGTAGGTCATTTACGTATACAAGGAACAAAAGTGGCCCTAAAACTGAACCCTGTGGAACTCCACTACTAACTCTTCTCCATTCAGACTCTGAGTGTCTTACTCTAACCCTCTGTTCCCTTCCTTCTAAGTAAGTTTTTAGCCATTCCAAAACATTTCCACCTATTCTAGCCATTGAGTGCAGCTTCCTAATAAGTCTCCCATGTGGAACAGTGTCAAACGCTTTCTGGAAGTCTAGGAATATGCAATCTGCCCAGCCCTCTCTTTCCTGTAAGATTTGGCTTACCTCATCATAAACTTCTAATAAGTTTGTTACTGTTGATCTACCTTCTCTGAAGCCATGTTACCTCACTGACAAAAAGTTGAAGGATTTCAAGTGAAGAGAGATATGTTTCCTTAGTAGTTTCTCCATAACTTTGCAAACTATGCTGGTCAAGGAAACTGGTCTATAGTTCAGAGCCGTATCCCTCCTTCCCTTTTTGAAGATAGGTATCACATTTGCTTGTTTCCAGCATCTTGGAATCTCACCCGACTCCAGTGACTCCTTAAATATGATACTTAGTGCCACTGATATTGTGTTTGTGCATTTTTTAAGCACATGAGGGGATATGTCATCAGGACCTGTAGCTTTATGAACATCTAAATCCATCAGCGATTTGCATACCTATGTGGCTGTAAGGTTGATGTTCTCTAATACCGGCCCTTGAGCTTCTATCACTGCAATCTGAGGGGGTGGGGTATTTTCTACTGTAAATACTGACTGAAACTCCTTGTTCAATTCTTTGCAGATCTCTTCGTCCGTCTCAGTGATGCTTCCATCTGCTCTCTTTAGCCTTAAAACCTGTTCCTTTACCTTCAGTTTTCCTCTGATAAAGCTGTGGAAAAGCTTGGGATTTTCTTTAGCCTTCTTGGTGATGTCCCTCTCATAATCTCTCTCTGCCTCTCTCCTTTTACTTAGGTAGTCATTTCTTGCTCTTTTGTAGGTTTGCCAGGCATTTATATTTTTTCTCCTCCTATACCTTTTCCAGCATTTGTCTCTCCACTCCTTAGCTCTTTTACACCCATTATCGAACCATTTCTCTCTGGCATGAATTACACTTACTTTGGTGACAGGTATGCAGCAATCTACTATCTTCCCATATTTCTCACAAAAGATGTCATACATTTCTTGTACAGATTTGTTGTAAAATAAGGTTCTCCAGTCAATAACTGCAAAAAGCTCATTCATTTTGATGTAATCTCCTTTCGGATAGTTCCTCCTCATGTCCTCAGTGCCTCTACTCTCAGGAAGAATATCTTCAATGATATACTCCATCAACAACACACAGTGGTCACTCTTTCCAATTGGTGGTTCATACTCAATATTTTCAATATCCAACACATTATCTGTGAACACTAGATCAAGTAGTGATGGCTCATCCCCACCCCTGGCTCTTGTTGGTTCCATTACATGTTGGTGTAGGAAATTCCCTTGTACGCAATCTAGGAATCTTGCCCCGAATGAGTCCTCACCACTGTGTGGGTCAAGATTTATCCAATCTATCTCTTTATGATTAAAATCTCCCATAATCAAAATCCTACATTTTTTCTCCCGTGCCATGTTAACAACTGAGTTTATGACTTCAATAGTACCTATATGACTTTCCTCATAAACTTCAAGCCTATTTTGGTTCCTTGGTGGGTTGTATACAACAGTTATTATAATGCTCTCTGACCCAGTATTTATGCGAGCAACAAGAAATTCCCTGAACTCACTTTCTATAGCCAAGTTTATTTCTTCAACTTGAATCCTCTCACTTATGAGCAGTGTGTGTGTGTGTGTGTGTGTGTGTGTGTGTGTGTGTGTGTGTGTGTGTGTGTGTGTGTGTGTGTGTGTGTGTGTGTGTGTGTGTGTGTGTGTGTGTGTGTGTGTGTATGTGTGTGTGTGTGTGTGTGTGTGTGTGTGTGTGTGTGATTACCTAATTTTTCTTACGGTAAGAGCCGAAAGCTCGTATCTTCCCGTCTCCTGATCTGTTCCATTTTGTACTTAGTGATACTTATCATACTTGTCCTTAAAACTATGGATTGAGTTAGCATTAACAGCCTCCTCGCTTAGCCAATTCCAATTATCAATTACTGTTACACTAAAAAACTACTTCCTTACATCCTGCAAAGAAGTTTTCTTACGAACCTTCAAACTATGACCTCTAGTTCTAGAGCCAGCCATATCAAAATATCGATCCCTATTCACTCTATCATAACCATGAAGGAATTTAAAGACTGTCACCATATCCCCCTCTCAATCTTCTAACTTCGAGTGATGGTAAGTCTAATTCCCTCAGCCTCTCTTCATAACTGAGATTGCGTATATCTGGTACCAGTTTCGTGGCATGTCTTTGAACTTTTTAAAGCTTAGCTATGTGCTTTTTCAAGTGTGGATTCCAAAAGGGGGCTGCATATTCAAGTTTTGGCCTCACATAGGTTACATAAATATTTCTGAATATTTCCTTGTCCATGTGCCTGAAGGCTGCCTTTAGATTTGATAAGAAGGCATATGCTGCCCTTACTATGCCATTTATATGTATTTCTAGAGACAAATCTGCCAGTATGATTACTCCTAGATCTCTCTCGTTTTTTGTCTCTTGAAGTTTTACTCCTGCCACCGAGTAGTCAAGATTTGGCCTTCTTGCACTTGTACCCATTCTCATTATCTTACATTTTGAAGTATTGAATTTCATTAGCCACTTTTCTGACCAATCATGGAGACTATTTAGATCATCTTGAAGTTCTCTACCATTGTTCTCGTTTCTTACTTTCTTCATAATTTTTGCTTCATCTGCAAACATATTCATGAATGAATTTACAGACTCTGGTAGGTCATTTACGTATACAAGGAACAAAAATGGCCCTAAAACTGAACCCTGTGGAACTCCACTGCTAACTATTCTACATTCAGACACTGAGTGTCTTTCTCTAACCCTCTGTTCCCTTTCTTCTAAGTAAGCTTTTATCCATTCCAAGACATTTCCACCTATTCTAGCCATTGCTTGCAGCTTCTTAACGTGTCTCCCATGTGGGGCAGTGTCAAATGCTTTCTGAAAGTCTAGGAATATGCAATATGCCCAGCCCTCTCTTTCCTGTAAGATTTGGCTTACCTCATCATAAAATTCTAATAAGTTTGTTACTGTTGATCTACCTTCTCTGAAGCCATGTTGCCTCACTGACAAAAAGTTGAAGGATTCCAAGTAAGAAAGATATGTTTCCTTAGTAGTTTCTCCATAACTTTGCAAACTATGCTGGTCAAGGAAACTGGTCTATAGTTTAGAGCCGTATCCCTCCTTCCCAATTTGAAGATAGGTATCACGTTCGCTTGTTTCCAGCAGCTTGGAATCTCCACTGACTCCAGTGACTTTTTAAATATGATAATAAGTGCCACTGAT